GTTAATGTTCAGAAAACTGAACAACCAACTTAGATTTTAGGAAGAAAATGTACAGAAGATGAAAGGGAAGAAAGGATGAGTATAAGAGCATGAAATCCTGTAGTGTCAGCAATGCTAAGCTCAGAATGAATGGAAGCAGTCAAAAGAAGCCACAGCCAACAAAAGGGTTTTAGCTCTAGTAAGGGAAAAAGGAGGATCAAGAAGGGATGAGACCTCTGCTTGGTGTGGATGGGACAATAACTGACAGGGAGGCAAAGACAGAGCCATTCAATTCTTACTTTATTTCTCTTCTCTGCAAAGGAACATCACCTTTACTCTGTAAATGACAGAAGAAAAATGACTAACAGGGAGTTAGCTGATACCCAAGCTAAGTAAGGAATAGTAAGATAGCACCTATTGGCCCTTGATGAATTAAGTCACCTGGACCCAAATGAACTCAGGTGCTAAGAGAAGTGGGAGGTATTATTACTGAACTAGTCGATGATATTTGAAAGATGGGAAATCAGGATCCCGATTTAAAAAAAAAGAAAAGAAAAGAAAAAGGAAGGAGAAGAGAGTCTGCAAATTATAGGGTAGTGAGCTTGAAACAAATGCCTGGGGAAATTCTAGAACAGAATGTTAAAGAGGACATTGGGAAACATCCAGAAAAGCCAGCAACAGCTTCATCAAGAACAGAGCATGCCAGCCTAACCTCACTTCCTTTTTTGACTACTAAACCAATAGCGGTAATGCTGTACATAGAGTTTACCAATATTCTAGCACAGCTTTTGATAAAGCATCTCACATTATTCTTATAGAGAATGATAGATATAGATTAGACAATAATACAATCAGATAGATTCGGAATGGTTAGTGGACGGAACTCAGAGTAGTCATTAGTGTTCAATGTCAACATTGCAGGAGGTATCCTGAAAAGGACCCCAGGGATATATGCTAGGCACTGGAACATTTAACATTTTTATCAGTGACTTAGGTAAAGGCCTCGATGATATGCCCATCAGATTTGCTTATCACACAAAGCTAAGAAGGATCCCTAACCCACTGGATGACAAAGTAAGGAACCAGTAGGATTTTGACAGGACTGATAGAACATTAGGTTAGCTCTAATAAGATGCAATTCAGTAGGGATAGACCTAGCAGCTACTACATTCAAAGATAGTAAGTCTTGGAATATTATACTCTGTAGAGCAAAAGATCTAGGGATATGACCAAGGGCAACTTACTCAGCTAAATTAAGTATAATACTGAATAAAATAAAAATGGACATTTCATGAACTGAAAGACTTTCAGGTTTTTGTGACAGAAGAAAAAAACTTAAGGGAAAATTCAACATACAACATCCAGAAGAAATATAAGATAAACATTAAAGACCAATTATAAGGGACTCAATAAAGCCAAATTGTTCACTTTCCTATATGTGAAAACATTAGTAGTACTCTTGGGCTGAGCTGAGCATGATGGGATAATTCTAAAAAAATAAAACTGTAATAAAAATTATCTCATACAAATGAGCCATAAAAGGAAAAATTGATACAGAAGAAGCTAGTAGCAGGGAGGGCAGGTAGTGCTGGAACCTTAGTCTCACTGGAGTAAGAAGGAACGTATATATATCTAGAAGGATATAAAAGTCTTCTAAATTCAGAAAGAAATAAGAGGGCAAGGGTATAGGATGAGGGAGAGGATAAGAGAGGGACTCTTGGAGGGATGGGTAGATTAAGGAATAGGAGGGCAAGGTAGCAGGTAGAAGTAAAGCAGAGGAGTGAGGAGGGATAGGGTAAGTAGGGTGAGAAAGAGTGTGAGAAAAAAATAGGAAGGAGGAAAATACCCAAGTAATTGTAGCTAAGAATGTGAATGGGATGAATTTACCCATAAAATGGGAGTGGATAGCAGATTAAAAATTTGAACTCAACAATATGTTGCTTTCAGGAAACATTATAAAAATGAGAGATACACACAAAGATAAAATAAAAGGCAGGAGTAGAATTTATTATGTAAAGAATTTATTATGTGAAAAAAGAAGGGGTAATAATCAGGATCTCAGACAAAGTTAAAGTTAAGGTAAATTTAATCAAAAGTGAAAAATAAGAAACTACACTGTGTCCGCAACATTATTAAATACAGTTTTAGACCATTTAAAATAACTAGACAGTATAAAATGCCTGAGCATATCCCTGCCAAAACAGACACAAGAATTATAATAAAGTCAGATCTAAATAATTGAAGTAACATTTATTGTTCATGGGTAGGTAAAGCCAATATAATTTTTTAAAATGACAATTTTACCTAGCTAGTCTATTTATTCACTATCATCCCAATTAAATCACTAAAAATTACTTTACTGAATTAGAAAACATAATAAAAAGTTCATTTGGAAGAACAAAAGGTCAAAAACTTCAAAGAAACTAGGGGGAAAAAAGATGTAAAGGAAGTACATTCAGCAGTATCAGACCTTAAACTATATTATAAACTATATTATAAGGTGAGAATGTTGTTGAAGTGTAGAATGGATAATTTCAATTATTTTAAATTGAATTTTTTTCATATAAATAGAATCTTGTAGCCAAGAACAGAAGGAATGCAGAAAATTGAGAGGGAAATTTTATAGACAATCTCTCAGATAGGATGTGATTAGGTTGAAATATTGCTGTGGTGGAAATAATGAGGTGGTTAATTTAGAAAACCATGGAAAAACTTGGACTTATGAAAGATGATGCTATCCACCTTCAGAGAAACAGATGATAGGAGGAAATAAGTATAGTACAGTCTTACATATATGTGTATGAGTGTATGTGTATGTTTGTAGATATCTATGTATATGTGTGTGTGTGTATATATACATATATATATAATATATATTACATATATATATATATATATATATATATATATATATATATATATGTTTAATAGTGGCCTTCTTGGGGGTAGGGAGAGGAAAAATAAAGAAGTGAACATTAGAGAACAAAAGAAAACCCACAAGGAAACAAAGAAAAGCTGGGCAGCTTTGAAAACAATGTGTAGTATTTATCATATAGGTTTTCTTGAAATGGACATTTATTGCATTATATCGAATCCTCTCATGTTTTGCTGTGCTCAAGGCAATGGTTTTTTTTCTTTTCTCACTTTGGATTTAAGTTTAAAATAAATTTTAAAAATTTACCCCCCAAAAAAATTCAATGGGGGTAGGGGCAGCTAGATGGTGCAGTGGACAAAACACTGGCCCAGGAGTTAGGAGAACCACAGTTTAAATCTGTCATGACACTTACTAGCTGTGTGATCCTGGACAAGTCACTTAAACCTGATTGCCTCACCAAAGAGAGAGAAAGATTGATTCAGTGGGGATAAATTACTTTTTAAAAAAATCTATTTCACAAGTATGAGAAGGTGGAGGCAAAAACAGAATGTAAGCCTCTGTCAGGGAAAACTTCCTAACAATTGACATTGCCCAAAAGTGGAATGAGCAATCTCAAGAGAGGACTGACAAAGAGATCCCCCTCCTTGGAGGTCTCCAAGCAGGGACTTGAGGATCACTCATCCACGTATGTTATGATGGGCATTCCTTTCATGAATGAGTTGGAATAGATATTACTGAGGCCCCTTCTAACTCCCAGATTCTATGACTCTGACTCACTTGCTTTTTTCCTTCTCTAAACATGAGAAGCTTAAAGCAATTTCCAAGCCATACCAACCAGGTCTCAGTCAGTGAGAAGAATCCTAGCTCTTTAATGTTTTCAAAACTTCTTACTTCTGATCTCATTTGGAAGCAATCCAGAGGCTGGTACTATTATCATCTGTATTTTACAGATGGAGAAACTGAGGCTGAGAGAGGTTAGGGGATTTTTCTAGGGGTCACACAGTTAGTAAGTGTCTGAGGCAAGGCTTGAACCTAGGTTTTTCTAATTCTTGGTCTAACTCTCTCCTTATTGGCCCCAAAAGCCATTGAGGTGGATTTGGGAGGGACCTTCCCCACATTTTGGATTGCTGGGCCATGAGGAGGGAAGGGAAGGGAAGGGAAGGGAAGGGCAGGGCAGGGCAGGGCAGGGCAGGGCAGGGCAGGGCAGGGCAGGGCAGGGCAGGGAAGGGCAGGGAAGGGAAGGGAAGGGAAGGGAAGGGAAGGGAAGGGAAGGGAAATCTAGGCACTCTACCCCACCCCCCACCTCCCAGCTACAGGATCTGGTCCCTGCGGACTGTGTACTAGCCCGCCCAGGCTCACTAGGGATGCTCACCTATGCACATATCCAGAAACTCCAGTCTGGATTTCCCCTCCAGTCATTCATTCCTCCCCTCAAGATGAGAAGATGGAATCAGGTGAAATTGTCGAAAAGAGAAAACCCAAACTACAATATTTACTCTTCTGGAATAGATAAGGGAGGGGGGCCAGAAAAGAAGAGGAGAGTGTTCCCGCAGCTACTTCTCCCCCATGTCGCCTTGGAAAGTCTGCACTCTTCAAAGCTGGGGCTATTAATGGGGTGGGTGAGGGATGGAAAGTAATGTAGAAAGTATACTAATTAAGGGGAGGGAGTATGTTCGTTTTTGTCTTTCTATCCCCAGTACCTAACGTGTTACCTGGCACATAGTAGACGTTTAATAATACTAGTTTAACGAAATTGAATTGGAGGGAAGGAGGGAGAGAGGGAAGTCAACGCTCTATAATAGTCTTTTTTTTTTAACCTGATACACAATGTTATCAGTCTCCCGGTGTGGAAACTCTCCTCCACGGGTGCAGATTGGGTACTTATCTGTAACTTATGGTCTTAAAAGAGTACCTAGGACACTGAGACGCAGAGTGACTAGCCTGTGTTCACACTGGAGACTACCTAGACCGGATTTGAACCCGGGTCTTCTAGACTGCGCAGCAGTCTTATAAATTATCCTCCTTCCCCCTTGGGAATCGCGGTCCGGCCCATAACAATTGTATAAGCCCCTCCCCCTTTTCCTGGGCCAGCCGCAGAAACTGGAGGGAGGTGCTAGCCCTACCTCCTTCCCCCCAACACACGGAAGCTGGTAGACTTTGTCTACCAGCCCAGGATGCCGCACTCCTGGGTCTACAGGCTCCTCAGCTTTTTGCCCAGTCTGCTTCTTAGCATCTTGGCAGGTCTCCAACAGGTGAGGACTTGGAGCAGGGCGGAATAAGGGGAGAGACAGGGGTGCGTTTGTCCCACTTGGGGGGCAGATTCCTCTTTCCAGTCTCTCCCTGCCAGGAAAGGTAAGAGTGTGGGGGAACTGTTGAGAACGGGGGACGTATGAGTGTTTTACATGAGAAGAGGAGGAATTCAGAGAGAGGGGTAAATTCCTCCCCCCCTTCCCCGTCCGAGTACCCTGAGATCCCAGAGAACCCGTTGATCCTAATATTAGCCTTGGCTCACTTTTTCTAGGTTTTCTTGTACCTAGGGGTACAGAGCTGGTAACTGAGGAGCCTGGGCTAGGATCCTCAGACTCTACTCCCCTTGTACTGTGTGACCTTCGGGAATTTTTTGCCCTTCTCCTTGGCACTTGTTTCTCTACTTGATCTAGTGGGAAAAATAGCCCTGCCCTAGTCTACAGTTAAAAATAGGGTTCGAACTCTTTTTTACCCTCCCCCACCCCCACCTAGTCTAGTCTCACACACCCAACCATTTGGGGCTTGGGTGGTGTCTCTGATCTAGGATTGTGAGGCCTGGGGCAAGTTGGAGAATTTCAGATCTCTTGGAGTTTGCAAGTTGAGAAAACCCTGGAAACCAAATTGGTGTCTGAATGAATAAAGTGCTTGGAGATCCTGAGACTAATTCTTTCTCTGATCCCCAAATGGGAATTCTGTCTTCCCCAATCATCCTGCCACCTTTAGTCATGTTAATTATTGAGACGGGGAGGAGACTGAAGAGAGCTGAGACTTGGTGGAAGTCTCTTCCACCTCTACTCTGTTCCCTGTTATATGGATCTCTGTCCCTAGATTTGTGATTTACTAGGCTGGGTGATTTGGGGGAGGGGTGGTTGTCTTCTCTGGGTCCCTAGATCCTCCTTTGTGCTTTTCCCTGGAGCTACTATTCAAATTCAATTGCATTAAGTTTTTAAGCAGAGTTGGAGTTATCTTAACTATTACTTTATATATTGCAGTTATCTTTATTGTCCATGTAAATTAGATATTAATTCACTGCAATTATTAGAGGGAATTTTTTATTTAATCAAATGAACAGCAGTTACTATGCCCAATTCCTAAGGCAAGATTTGAGCTCTGACTACCCAAATTTGGCCTGGTCTTCCCAGAACTCCTCTGGACTGGGGAGATGCTGCTGATTAGAAGGAAATTAGAACAATTTGGGCAGGAGGGGGTGGGGAATAGGGGCAGCGACCTGTGCAGCCATTTCTCTAAGGGAGCTGTAGTTCCACAAGGACGATTCAATGGACCCCAATTAATGAGTCTGAGAGTCTCATTCTCCCATTCCTAGAATCTCCATTCCTAGAATGGAATATCCTTATGACTAGGGAATTTTTCATTCTTTGTATTTGTAGCCCCAGCACCTTCATAAATATTTGTTGCCTTAGTAAATTTGTGCCTTGATAAATATTTGTTGATGAATAATGTCCTTGTATCCCCTACCCCCACCACCTTTAAGCTGTGGCTCCTTTTCTTCCTAGGTAACTGGTGGATGCCAACTGCACTTGTAAGTATGGCCACCTGGATGCCTTAGTTTCTCACCGTCTAGAGAGGAAGGGGAGGCCACCAGAGTCAGGAGTTTCCTGGCAAAAAGGCCCAGTTGGAATTCTCTTTTAACCCTTTCCATAGATTGGTCTTTCACCAACCCAGGCTCCTAGATTACAGTGGGCAAAACAATGGATAGGGGACCTGGGTTGGAATCCTCTGCACCTTACCCCACGACTTTAGGCTGGGTGTCCATTTTCTCATCTATAAAATAAGGGGGTTTGTGCCAAAAGTAAGACTGGACTCCCTGCCTTCCCTTGGAGAAGTCTTTCCATGGTCTGTTCTCTAGTCTTCTAGCTTAGCTGTCTCTTCTGGGGGATTTGTAGAAAACAAACTGGGTGATAACATCACCTCCCTTAGTGCTAGGAGGGCCTTTTTTATTTTTTTATTTTTTTAATTTATTTTTTCGCAAATGGGGTTAAGTGACTTGCCCATGGTCACACCGCTAGTAAGTGTCAAGTGTTTGGTCTGAGTCCGGATTTGAGCTCAGGTCCTCCTGACTTCAAGGCTGGTGCTCTGTCCACTGCGCCACCTAGCTGCCCCAAAAGATTTTATGGTCTGACACTTCTTTTTTTTTTTTTTAATGGTGGTTGTTGTTATTTTAGGCAATGGGGTTAAGTGATTTGCCCAGAGTCACACAGCTAGTAGTGTTATGTATCTGAGGCGGATTTGAACGCAGGTCCTCCTGAATCCAGGGCCGGCGCTCTATCCACTTAGGAGGTCCTTAAAGGTGATCCTAGGCGATCTTTTCATTATTCTCTAGGCTAGGTGAAATGACTTCCCCAAGGTCATCTACCCTATGTATGCAAGCCAGGATTCTAAAGCCACTAGCTCTTATACATCAGAATAAATATTCTGGGGACCCACAGAAGGAGAATGGAATAGAAAGGCTGGAGTTGATGTTACTTAAGCACTTTGAGATCCGCCTAGGTACATATATTCCCCAAGCTCAGGGATTCTGTTTTAGGGGAAATTTAATTAGTCATGATGTTAATTGCTATTTAGTAAGGCCAACAGGAATAATACTGTAAACAAGCCTTTGCTTTTGTATATTGCTTTCTCCATTTGGAAAATATTACCTACTTCAAGACAGGCAGGGTAAAAATTGTTATCCCCATTTTAGGGATGAGGAATCTGAAGCTCATAGATAAAAATAAACTCTCCAGGACCACGTAATTAGTAAATGGCACAGTCATGATTAGAACCCACATCTTTTGGCCTTCCTCCTCATCCCTCACACAAGGCTCTTTCTACCACTCCATGAGCCATCACAGGCATGATTTGCTCCAACCAGAGAAGAGCTTAGGACTAAGACTATGAAAGACCATTGTTTGTTATCTCACGGGGTAAAGGGCCCAGCTTACATCTGGGCTCCTTTTGACTAAGGGATCACCTTCTACTATCTCCCATGCTAGCTTCTGCCCTGAAGGATTTGAGTGCTGTGGCAATGGCTGCTGTGTGAAGACAGAACATTTCTCTGGCCCCATGAGGTGAGAAACATGGCGGGCATTTTGTGGCCATGCCCAAAGGTATCTTGTCTCTGGCCACTGGGGATGGATAGATAGATAGATAGATAGATAGATAGACAGACAGACAGACAGACAGACAGACAGACAGACAGACAGATAGATAGATAGATAGATAGATAGATAGATAGATAGATAGATAGATATGGCCAGCTGGTGATGCTTGGGACATGGCAGGTGTTTTGTGGCCATGCCCAAAGGTATCTTGTCTCTGGCCACTGAGGATAGATGGATGGATGGATAGATAGATAGATAGATAGATAGATAGATAGATAGATAGATAGATAGATAGATATGGCCAACTGGTGATACTTGGGACGTGGCAGGTGTTTTGTGGCCATGCCCAAAGGTATCTTGTCTCTGGCCACTGGGGATGGATAGACAGATAGATAGGTAGACAGATAGATAGGTAGATAGATAGATAGACAGACAGACAGACAGACAGACAGACAGAGACAGAGAGAGAGAGAGAGAGAGAGAGAGAGAGAGAGAGAGATATGGCCAGCTGGTGATGCTTGGGACATGGCAGGTGTTTTGTGGCCATGCCCAAAGGTATCTTGTCTCTGGCCACTGAAGATAGATAGATGGATGGATGGATGGATAGATAGATGGATGGATGGATGGATAGATAGATAGATAGATAGATAGATAGATAGATAGATAGATATGGCCAGCTGGTGATGCTTGGGACATGGCAGGTGTTTTGTGGCCATGCCCAAAGGTATCTTGCCTCTGGCCACTGAGGATAGATAGATAGATAGATAGTAGATAGATAGATAGATAGATAGATAGATAGATGTGGTGATGCTTGGGAGATAGCCCCAGGGGGTATAGAGAAGGGGAGGGAATGGAGGAAGGAGTTTGGGAGGATGCTGCCCACCCTCACTCTATGTTAAAGGAGGATCATGGTGTGGATTTTCCTGCCTCCTCAGGACATTTGTCATCAGCTTCCTGGTCATCATCCCTCTCCTCTGTATCTGTGGCTTGTTCAAGCGTTTGTGCCGAGCTTGCTGGGTCTCAGAGTCGGAGCCCTCAACTCAGCGGGAAGTGCCAGTATCAGTGTCCTTCAGTAACCCCCCTGTGTCCCCTGAGACTCCAGCACCTGCCCCATTTGGACCCCCACCACCCTACAGTGAGGTGAGTCCCCCTTGACTCCAGCTCTGTCCTGGATATCTGTCCATACTTGGGGTAAGTCACAAGAGAGGGCATCTAGGAGAGGCTATAAGCTGCAGCAAAGTCTGGAACCTTCAGTGAGGCCCTTCTCTTGACTAGACCTTGTTTTCTTTCTCTATAAGGTTAGAAGAATAGTCTAAATGGTTTCTAGGGACAGTTAGGTGGTGCGGTGGGTAGAACGCTAGCCCTGGAATCAGGGAGACCAGAACTCAAATCTAGCCTCAGACACTTACTACTGTGTGACCCTGGGCAAGTCACTTAACCCCATTTGCTTCAGTTTCCTCATCTGTAAAATGAGCTGGAGAAGGAAATGGCAAAGCACTCCAGTGTCTTTGTCAAGAGAACCCTAAATGGAGTCACAAAGAGTTGTGTGTGCCTGAACAAGAACAAAAGATGGTGTAGTAGATAGTGCATTGGACTTAGATTCTGAAAGACCCGAGTTGAAATACGGCTGTGGATACTCACTAACTACTATGTGACTCTGTGCAAGTCACTTTACCTCTCTTTGCCTGTTTTCTCATCTGTAAAATGGGGATAGTAATAGCATCTACCTCCCAGGGTTGTTGTGAGTGTCAAATTAATAACTTCTTTGAAATCCTTAAAAGTGCTATATAAGTGCTAGCTAGTAACTATTATTCTAAAATCCCTACCACCTCAGTCTACGCTCTTATGCTCTGCCTCTCTATACCAAGAGCTTCCCAACTTGGGATATGTATATGCAAAACTCGTCACAAGGGGTGAATATTTGGCAAATAACTATATTATCGTACTGAAAATATTCTGCAAGTGCCAAATTGATTTTCAATCAGCAGTGACAAAATGCCTTATGTGTATGCATGGTAAACACTAGAATTTATTTCCTTTCCAACTGAATAGGGGGTTTGGGTAGATTTAGTGGAAACCCAAAGACTGCAGGGATCAGCAAAGGTTGGGTTCTCCTTGTCTCTACCCATAAGTCATGTCTCTCCCAGGCCATTGTCTCCCATACCCAACAAACACACTTATTGGTATTGGGAAAGCCCAGTGAATTAGATGCTGAAAGACCCTAGTTTGAACCCTGTTCTTTCACCTTAGGGCTTAACCTCCGGGAAATGAAGGGTTTGGCTGTAGATAGATCATCTTAACCTTAGACGTGTAAGGTCCCTAAATCCTGTCATACTACTATGGCCTCAGGTACCATCATCCTTGCCCTTTCAGAGAGAGTTAGGGGCGTGGTCAAGTTGTACCATCTGGGGTTGGCCTTCCTGGAGTCAGCAAAAAGAAGGAACTGAGGCCCTGACTGGACAGAGAACACTGTGCTCTCCTCCCCACAGGTCGTTCAGAAGCCAGTCCTGTGCCCACCAGCTCCCAGGGAGCCACCACCACCCTATACCCCCACGCCTGTTGTGACGACCCAAAGCACCCAACGGGGAATCGTCAACACAGCCTTCTGAGGCATGTTGGGACGCCCTACAAGCTTGACGCTTAACTTATTTCTCTCCTTGTCTCTGCCTATTCAAGGGTGTCCTCGCTCCTAGGAGCCCTGGGCATTACCTGGCCTGGGAGTCTGCTCCTTTTCTTAGAGCTTTAAGGATGGAGGGAGAGAGAGGCAAATTTCAGCCCATGTTAAGAAAGGCAGCTCTCTAACAATGGAAGGGGACTTCTGTGACACTTGGTATGTTTATGAAGAGGCTGGATGATTGATCTCCTGTCCTAGAATGCTGAAAGGAAGATTGCTACAGGTGGGAAGAGACCTTGGACTTGAGAGATAGCCTTCCCCAACATCAGATGGAGTGGGCTGAGATCCTGTACAGAATCTCGGCTTTTGTGTGCTTGGAGGTTGGGTGGGGGCTTTAAATAAGTCAAGCAAAGTCATCCTCTGGCATGAACAAGATATGCCTAGCCTGCTGCCCTACAATGCCTGAAGTTCCACCATTAGAGAGCCATTCCTTTGGTTAAAGCCTTGCACCCTACCTGTGGGTTTTCTGTGGGCAGAATAACTCTTTAATGTAAAGTAAATTGCATATCATGAACGAATTTAAAAGACTTTTGACGTTGGGTTATGGAGAGGGGGGATGGGGAAGGGGCTCTGAGAATGAAGTTGGGGGTGGAGGGACATAGGTCAGGGACCAAAAGGTAATCAGCAGGGTTCTTGTCAGTTAATTACTGTTTCTCATTACCATTGGATATTAGGGTGGGGGTGGGAGGGTGTGTGACCAGCAGCTGGAGGAGAGGGAACTCCCTGCTGCTACCCAAGTAAGTTAAGATGACCTAGGGGCAGAGTACAGTGCCCTTTGCTGACTCAATTTATTTCAGCATCCCTTCCCCACCCAGAAAGATGTTCTAGATTTATGGGGGGAAGGTGGGAACAGGTGGTGATAAACTTGATTGGGAGAGGGGAACAGGTTGGGGGAGAAAGGAGAATGAAGGTGGGAAGGGGGAAGGAAAGGAGGGCTGGATGGGAGTGGGGAGGCCTTGGCAGTGGAAAAGGTGAGGAAAGGGAAAATGCAGCCTCTGGAAAGGGAGATCTTGACCTGACACACCCAGTGAACTTCTGAATTCTTTTCACTTAGGGTTGGGTAGGGAAATCACCTTCTTCTGCCTTCATTCTCAGGCTTAGTTGGTTCTGTCCCTGGGCCGCTCTAGAAGCGAATACCATACCTTGGCCCCAAGCAGCCCATCTGGCTGGTAGATTCCACCCCAAAAAGGGAAGTTAGGACTTTAGACCGCTTAGGGTCCCTCACACCCTTTCTGGAGATGCACAAGGTCAAAACTATTTTCATAACACCTGTGACATTTTCATTTGAAATATGGTAAATAGTGATAAATATAACCCATAGAAACAAACCTTTTGAGGGAGGGTCCTCAATTTTTAAGAGAATAAAGAGGTCCTAAGATCAAAAAGCTTGAAACTGCTACTTCAGAGGAAATAACACAGACCAGGCAGGGTGTGGGTAAGGGAGTGGGGAGGTAGGAAAGAGACCTTTTTAATTTGTTGAACATTGATGTCCAGAACTACCCAGCCCAGGAAAATTAGAGGAACATTGCCGTGCCCTGACCCAGGTGTGGCCAGAGTAGATCACCATCCAGGCTACTGCATGATTGGCTTCTGAATTGGGGGTAGGGAGAGGAGGTGGGGAAGATGGTGCTGATTATACTGTCCAAATTAGGATACACATACCACTCCCTGCCCTACAGGGGCTGCTCTCTTAGTTATCCCATCTCATCCCCATACCAAAAAGACCCTGAGAACCGGAGGGAGCATGGAAATGTGCTAGTTTATGTTCAGCCCACCAATCTCCATTACCCATGGGAGTCACTGCTCCTCAATGGCACCCCCAGTGACTTCTTGGCATCAGGTCATAAAGTGGCCCCCTGAATCATGACCATCCCCCAGTCTCTGGATACAAATTCTAATCTGAAAAAAGTTTTAAGTAGGTGAGATGGGTGTGACTTTCCCCAGGATCTCTATGTTCCAGAGTCCATCAACAATAATCCCTTTTACTGAGTGCCTACCCTGTGTTCAACAGTGTACCTAAACCCTCTAAAAATATCTAATTGTATCTTCACAACAGTCCTGTGAGGTAGGTGCTATTATCTCCATTTTTCACCTAAGGAAACAGGTGAAAAGGTTAAGTGATTTGCCCAGGGTTACACAGCTAGTAAGTGTCTGAGGCTAGATTTGAACTCAGGTCTTCCTGACTCCAGGCCTAATGTTCTATCCACTGAGCCACCTACCCAGACTCTGGAGCATTTATTAAGTGCTTATTGTGTGCCAGGTACTACTAAGTGCTAGGCTTATAAAGACAGTGACTCCCTATCCTCTCCACACATTCTAGTAGGGGAAACATCTAGATAGATACAATGTATGTACAAAGTAGTTTGGTCATCTCAAAAGGAAGGCCCTGGCAGTTATCTGGAGTGGGGAAAGGGCCAGTAAAGGCCTCCTGCAGAAAGTCAGGATTAGAATTGAATCTTCAAGGAAGTCAGAGATTCAAGGAGGGAAGGCATTCCAGGCATGCAAAAAAAGTATAAAGGAAGCAAGATGGACTTGCAGTGGGAGGAATATAATATAAATCAATGAGGGTGGATCATCTGGAGAAGAGTGTAAGAAGGCTGGAAAGGTGGAAGGGGACCCAGGCAGTGAAGGGCTTTAAATGCCAAACAGCATTTCATTATTGATCATGGCGGTAAGGGAACTATTTGTTGTTCATTCATGTCCAACTCTTTGTGACCCTATCTGAGGTTTTCTTGGCAAAGATCCTGGAGCGGTTTGCCATCTCCTTCTTCAACTCATTTTACAGATGAGGAAACTGAGGCAAACAAGGATAAGTGATTTGCCCAGAATCACATAGCTAGTAAGTGTCTTAAGACCAAATTTTAACTTGGGTCTTCCTGACTTCCGGCCCAGCCCTCTATCCACTGTGTCACCTAGCGGCCCTTACTGGAACTACTGGAGTATGGGATGGGGGGGGGAAGAGTTTATGTGACATGGTTAGACCTGCTCTTTAGAAAAATACTTTGGCAGCTGAATGGACGATGGGTTGGAATGAGGGGACATGAAGCAAGGAGACAGTCCAGAAGGCTACTGCAATAGTCCAAGTCCAAGGTGATGAGAAACTGCACCACAGTGGTGATTTTGTACATGAAGAGAAGGGGATGTATGCAAGAGATGTTGGGAGAGTAGAAACAAGACTTGGGATTAGATATGTGGAGGGTGTACAAAAGTGACAGTATCCATGTTGTGAACCTGGCTAGCAGAGAATGGCGGTGCCCTCCAGGGTCATAGGGGAAAGGGAGAAACATAATGAATTCTGTTTTGGGTGTATCAATTGGAGATAATCCAAAAGGTGACGTGGAGAGAAACTAAGGCTTGGATATGTAGATCTAGGAATCATCTGCTTAGAGATAATAATTGAAATCATAGGAGCTGATGAGATCAACAAGTGAGAATGTGTGGAGGGAGGGAGAAGAGGACCTGGGAC